GAGCATTTCTAGGAATATGCTGAATTAAGGTGATGTGAAAGTGGCATCAAAGAGGTTTTGTTTATAAAATTTTTCTCCCAACTCGATTTACCGAATAGTTTGAAACTTTACAACGTGAATGGGGAGACTATAAGGAAGGTCCTGAAACTCATGAAATTTCAATTCTTTTCAAATTTGTTTATAGGTATTTTAAAAATAGTTTATAAAAAATGAAATTTCGCGAGTTTCACTACCTACCTTAGGGTCCCCATATTCACGTTTTAAAGTATGAAACGATTTGAAACACCCAGTTCGTAGAAAAGTTTTATAAACGATTGAGCTTTCGGATGCCACTTTCACATCCCCTTAACACTAGGTTTACGGACGCGACATTTTGACGCATTTCGAATTTCATGGGGAAAATGACAAAAACAGTTCGCATGTTTCTTTTACCACGTGTACTGACTTTTATCCATTTAACGAAGAAAGTATGTATCGAAGTTCGTTTTCTTCAAAAGTTTTGTAATATTGACATTTTCAGTTGTTTAATTAAAAAATGCATATGTACGTTTTCGTTCATGCGTCAAACTGACGCGTGTCCGTAGAAGCAGGTATGTAACAAATGTCCGTAAACCTAGCGTTAATTACGAATCTAGGTAAAAGCTGGTTATTCAATTAACATCTTTAATTAGCAAATAATTAATTCGCTAATTGTCGTTTCTGCGTTCCAAGGTATAATCCGAGCTATCATCGGGCACCGAATGATTCAACTAGGGTGGAAATCCCATTTTTCAGTAACAATCACATCATGATTGCGAAACGATAAATATCAATTATATTTGCAATGTCACTCTACTACTTTATAAATACAAAGCAATCTTCTTCTTCTTCTTCTTCGCGAGTTCGATACCGTCGACATAGCCAAATATGTGGAGAACGTTACCTCGTACCATTTATTGTATCAAGTCCTTACCGCGTAACTCGGAAAAGAACAACAAATAATGTGTCTGGGACAAAACGGTAGAATCGTTATTTTCTAAGACAAAGGCGGAGGCAAGGTCTGTTTTCTCGCATTCGAAGCATCGTATCGCCTGGTCGTTCTCGTTTACCGGCAATTATATACCAAAAATAAGGCGGGTCACCTTCTTTATCTGCAATTAAATACTACGCCATATTTGCATAACACTAAAATAAATAACGAAAGTTGTTCAAAAGCGACATTGATATTATATGACAACAAACTACTATCGTTCCGTTCCAATCTTAGAAATCTGGCAGCATTTCGGTGATATATTGTTAACATAACACATAATACATAACGTGTTACATTATTCAGTTTATAACCCTGTTATATAACTGCGGGACATAGTTTAAATTTATATGTAACATGTACGTTATATTAAATGTCCCAAAGAAATTTGTAACATATATATTATTACGTACGGAAGCGTTTGGTGGATAGAAATCTAAACTCGAATTTTCGAATCTTGAAACGTTCAATTTTCATTTAACAAAACTCGAGGTAAACTCGTTTAAGGTCGACAACGCGTTAGAGTCCAGAAATGTACCTACGTACGAAGAAACGTACTCGAAGGATGGGCCAAAGGGTCACTCCGAGTTGGGCCCGCGCGAACACTCCGTTCGACTCCGCTCGGCGCGGCGAGACGAAAGTGGTGCGGTCGCGGGACTTATAACGACGAAGCGGAGGCGCGCGAGCGGTTTGTCCTCCTGGCACCGAGGTTGTCGGCACACTGAATGACTGAATGACCGCGCCGGCTGAAAAGAACGCGAACGCGTTCACCGCCGCCCGGAATGGCGAGCGGCGGCGAGTGGCGAATGCGCGGGCCGAGGGGCGCCACGGTCGCCCGCTTCCCGCTTCCCGCTTCCCGCTTCCGCCCCGGCCACCCCACATGCCGGATCCACGTGGCCGGAGCTACCCTCGCCCGCTCCTACGGACTGGGCGAGAATCGAGGAAGAAAGGGAGACCTTGGATCATGTATTGGGTCGAGGAATAAGTTCCCGCCGTTTTTAACGTAACGTAACGTAATTAAAACTGCGGGAACCTATTTCTCAATCTAATAGATTTCACAATAAGGATAAGCTCGACAAATGCGCAAGAAATACCGATCTAGCGAACCTGGTCGATATATTCATTATTCCAATAAACAATGCAGGAAACGACATTTTCTGCCCAACCCGAAGCGCCAGGCTAAACTTCACAGATAAAGACTAGATGAGCGTTTCGTTCTTCCGCGTACTAATTTGTATATTTGCCAAGAAATTCTTCAGAATTTCTCGGTAGTCAGTGCACTTCGAGCATGTACGAGAACCCCGGGTGAAATATTTAATGAAATATGTAAATTAACGAAACCATCGGAACGTCACACCTCGCGATGTACCTTCATTTTACTTACCCGATACTTGCAGTTGGTCCCCTCGTCTTGCACCCTGCAGATTCGCCTCCTTCTTCGGCTTGTGGCCAATGCACTAGCACTCACTTCCCCTTCGTCGATCGTTCACGGTTCTTCCGACCATCTGCCCTTGGTTCGCCGATGCGCGTCCATTCGGATACGCAACGTGACACCCCGCGAAGAAAGAGACAATTCGAGGAACGCCCAATCCGGCATAGCGTACACGTAAGAATAATTGTACAATAAAATTATGATGTATAGCTTTTTCACGTGTGGTATGGGCGTTATGGATATTATGGATTTAGTTCTTTTCCTATTTTTGTTCCTTTGCTGATTTCGCAGCGAGTTTCGCGCGCTCACATACCAGTGTACTTGGAAAGTATCCGAGACTCGTTGAAAGTAGCGGACCATATAATTATTGGAGAAAGTAGTAAGAAATGTTGCGATCGTAGCCATTTTTACGGGTTATATCTTTCCCCGCGTGTACGATGTTGAAGAGAGGAAAGGAAACGTTCGCGTGTGTACGTATACGGGAAAGAAAGAAAAAGGAAAGAATTCATCAACCTATTCGAGTTATGTAAATATGCACATAACGCGAGTTCTTGTTCGTTACCAGATGTTGATGCAATTTTATCGACTATTTCCCGCTCCGAGGCGGTAACTAAATAGTTTTAGCTAGTGAAAGCAGCTGGAATTACCGCAATCCGCATTACATTTCCAAGTTTTGTTTCTCATGTGTACATACATCCGTATTACGCTTCTACCAATTCCTACTAGTTGGATCTTATTGGCTTCGACTAATTTCTACCGATTGGCGAACAAGTTTACTTTTCTCAGTTTCAAGAAACCGCTAGAGGGCCCCCCATTCTTCCTCTAGTTCCATTAACTTACATCTTCGGAAAATCATCGAGGAACGGTCGGCTTTGCGGGCTCCACGTATCCAAAATCAGTGACCCACCGTTAGCGAGTTACATCTCTTCCACGCGTGTCGAGCAGAGAAGACACGTTAATGTTTATTTTTGACCGTCGCGAAACCAAGCGTCGGGTCGCGGGATAAAAATGGCATCGCCTCTTTTCCCGCGACCGCCGTGGCTGGGCGGCAACCGGTGCCGAGAGTGAGGTGCTCTCCTTGACACTGTATCTCCCTCCAGAAATCTCGCGATCGCAAGACCCGCACGCCATCCATGCCATCGTCCGCCATCACGCGTCCACCTCATGGACAGTGTATCCCCCGGGCGTTCCAGAATTCGTCCATCCGAAAACTGGGGGAGTTCCTTTACTTTTTTTTTTTTTTTTCTAAAGTGAATATTTTCTGAGTTGTTCATTCTTATAGTTGACTTATTCCACACACGCGATTCAAACCCTAAGCGCGCGCTCGACGCTCCAGGGTCCCGCAGTTTTTATTTCATTTCATTTTTTTTATTTTCATCTCATAATTAAGTTAATGAAAAATAAGTATAATTCGAATATTAAAATACAAATAATTAAACAATTCCACGTAATTATTGGTTACTAAATTACTTAGTAAATATGTCAATTAATGAGACATTCAATTCAATCGAGTAAATGAATTCTTTGATTTAATGTCAATTATTGAAATAATTACCGATGAAATTAAATACTAACTCATTTAATAGGAGCGAAAAATATCTTGAGTTACTAATTTTGTATTATTTTAATTATTTGTAATTACTTTTAAATTAATTAAGCCTTGTGTGCTCGATGAAATTCTAATCGAATTAATGAAGCAGCCATATCGTATAATTCAATGAAGATTCATCCTATAAATCCTCGTAATCACTAAAGTCACGTAAACATTTTGTAATCACAACGCCGCAGAATCGAATAAATACTCTGTTAATGCAAACCAAGTCGTTTACGACACTTCGTATTTGGATCGTGTAATAACTTCCCAGGCAAAAAAGGCTTGGCTAATAAAAACATGATCATGTGACGTCAACGAACAAAACCTATTAACGAGTACTTGCGAACGCAACATAGAATTATTCGTTGATTGCGCATGCGTTTCATCGGGCGTTTAACAGATAGTTCGCAACTCATCATTGCATCGGAATAATTATGTTATATCGATGAATACAATTGTTCTTCTTGTAAAAAATCATCAGGTTATCCTCGTCGTAGCACCTTGTGCAATACAGGACAATCCAATGAGGACTGCCATTTGGAATATCTCGTTACGTAGTAATTATATAAAACAATATTTTTGTAGAATGTATAATATTCGGTGAGCACCGTCTCAAATTTTTTATGGTGGAGTGAAACACGTTGAGAAACTTGATGGATATCGATAAGAAAGGTTTTGTCTAAATACCTACGTTATCTACGTTCGTATTTATATCGACAGCGGAAACAATTCAATCTCAAGCAGACGGAATTAAAATGCAAACCTCAAGGTAATCTACGACGGTTGCGCAAAGATGAAAAAGAAGAACAGAAAATGACGTCCGCTTTTCAAAATTAATGGCAATATTATGAAAATATGTAAAAGATGAAAAAACATAGCAAACGAATCGACTCATTGGTAACTCAATTTATTTGACACTTCTGGCGGTTAGTTCGACATTCAGCTACGCAATATGGAATCTCTTTTGGCTTTTTTTATTAACACTTTTGCATATCCAAAGACACGAAATCGACGGAACGCGATAAGAATTGTAAATTTCGGATTTTCAATAATCATCGTGATCGGGGAATCAACGGACTATGGAACATGCTATCTCAGAATACAGATGCAGCGTGGTCATGTCATCGATCGTAGAATCGAGAAGTAGGACAACGCAGAACTGAAGATCTACAAAATGAAGATTGCTCGTTTCGGATCGATGCTTACGTAAATCGTTGCGTTTCGTACCGTGGCAACCTGGTTTAAGCTGAGGGGAAAGAAGCCATACGCCGTGCAGAAGAAGGGCGTCTGCGAGCGTCTCATTATGACCATGAGGAGAGTCTTCATCGAGCGATCGCAACCGAACCAGCTCGACTCGTAAGCCCCATGACCGACTCCCTCCGTCTGCATGGAACGTGAAAAGGGAACGCGGCTTAAAACAATTCCTAATAGCGTCGACACGAGTGTATTTATAAACTTACCTGGTCAGTTAGCATTGTTGCAAACCAGCAAAATGTCACGATCATCATAAACAGAGCGGAGAGGTGTACCCAGTTCAGTACAACTTCTATGTAGTCTCCCATGGACAGCATCTGGAACGGGTAACGGAGGGTTTACAAGGAATTACGTAAAAATATGAAAGCCCGTGAATAATTAAATGAACAAGTGACCTTCTCCATTTGGTACATGCAGACGCACATGTTGGTAGCGCACAGCAGCATCGTCAACATCACTACAGGGCTGAATATGCTTTCGATCGCGTTGCATATACTGAACAAATGCAATCGCGGACTCATGTCGGTTATTCATTTTCTGCTTTTTCATGTTTTTAGCAATCGAGTGAGATATTTGGCCAATTATTCCGTCATAAACGCAAAAACGTAGAAAAGCGGCGACGTCAAATGAAAATATTCGCACCGATGAAATTCGAGATCGGATCATTTTATGCAGGCCTCACCTCAATAGTTCCAAATGATGTCCGATGAGAACGATGACTTTCAACTCGACGATATTGTCGGGCCGAGCCATACCTTTGTCATTGAAAACTTTCTCAAGTTTATGACGCAGAAGCTATCAAGACCAGTTGAGAAAAAGTCAATAGGAGCGAATACGGATGAAGTTTCGAAAAAGCCACGAACATACTTTCAACGGATATCGATCAATTTCCTTTCAATTAATCAAAAATACTGTGAAACGGTTGAAAGTCACCCAAACCATGATTATGCACGTACAATGGCTTACCCGCAAGTGGATGGCTGTAAATGTGGTCAGGTGTGCAAACAATATATCGCAGGATACCCACATTATTACTGCGATTACCACAAAAGCCTGTTCCAGACTGTTGACAAGAAAGTAGACGAACGCGGTCTTCAATGGAAACGGATACATTATTGGATACACCATCTGCGTATGATCGTACGAACGGTTCTCGGTCTTCATAAATATGTACTGAATAGTGATGTCTCTGGGAATCAATTTAAGGAAGAGAATTATTTCGATTGCCATGAGATACGATCCTAGGTACAGTAGAATACAACATGTATCAAGACAGATCCCAGCCAAAATAATTATTATAATTTGACACTTTGCATTAGTCTACCGATAATACAGTCGAATGAACACGAAGGACATGAAAATATGAATATTGGACAAAAATATAATTAGAGTGCAGGAAGTTACGGATAATTTATTCAACTTTTCCGATGTAACGTCAAGAAATTTCTTTATATCCTGGTCTTTATTGTCAAGTATCATTCGTCTCGCAGGACTCCCAAATGAGGTTATGAATATGCTGCAGCAAGATACGTACAAGGGGTATGCTTACATATATCTAGGTAAAGTATAGAAGATGAAGCCGCCCACAATTATAGTGAAATAAATGTTTCTAGTAACAAACAATTTATCGAGCATCTCGTCAACGGCGTTTGAGTTTAGATCAACTGAATTTTCCCAATGTATCGCCATCTTCTGAAGGAGGTTCCTCAACTCCACTCGCTTCTGAATAAGTCTTACACCCTGGAATATAACGCAGAGAGAAGCGTTTAACGATAACTGGAAAACTGTGTCGTTAATTTATTTGGATTCATATCAGTGAACAAGGAACAATTTTGAAAATCATATTTTGTTAAGAATTCCGAGTGCAGTTTTGGGTACGTTTGAACTTCGTTAAACATCTACGCGTAAATGAATAAGATGAGAACGTGACCATGATAAATCATTTTTAGCGGTGCAAAGCTACATAGATGCTCTGTTTATATGCCATACTTTCAAAATGATAAAAAGCAATACCCTGTATTAAAGAAGAAAAAAATGAGGGCTGAAAAATTTACTTCTCATCATAGTTTTTGCGGTTTAATTTTTTACAAATAAACGAAGGTGCAACAAATTACATTAAGTACCAACAAAAGTGTGGGACACAATTAGGAATGTATGACAAAATGAAGAACGTTATTAAGTAAAAAATAAGAAACTTATTAAACATTGGTCAATTTGCCCCGGTCTCCCCTACCTTTTAAAATCGTTTACGCGATTACTTGCAGTGCTTACCTTTGCAGCTGAGAGGACGACTGAGATTATCGTGGGAACCGAGTTTAGTGCATGCATAGGGTTGTCTTGCCATATGAACAGCAAAGTTCGGAATTCGACAGCTATAACTAGCCAGGTTCCTGTGATGCACAATGCACAGACAATTGTTTCCAAAATCGTTGGCATTTTGTTTTCCCCGGTAAGTACGCACTGCATAAATGGCATTCCGATACACCGCATCATTATCACGCTGGGACCGATGAATTCCTTGAAGGTGATCGTCGCAATCTTTTTATTCCTGACGATCATATTTCTACAGAAACGGAATCGGACAGGTGGTATTGATTCACGTCAGCGGATACATGCAGAAAGATAACATTTTGTTTAAGATAAATGAGTTAATTTCTGGTCATTGTGTTTAACGAAACTTATATCCGTTCATTCATTCTGTATTTAAAGTTATGATGTTATGAATAAAATATTATGAATTCGAACGTATAATTGTTAGTACATGGACGGTGATGGCAACAGATGTTAAGGTGAAATTAACATGAAACGCGTTACCTAAACCCATTCGTGTTAGTTTCCAATTTAGATATGAAGTGTGAACGCAAACATAGAAATCGCTCATTCTTCACTGTTTCGATATTACTTACGAGGACTTGGGATTCAAAGAGAATTAAAAAGTTTCCACTAGTTAGAGACCACTGAACTGCCCGGATGTTTTAGTGAAACCACTAAATTGCTTCTTCGGTAAAGTATCAAATGTGAGCAGTTTTTGCTACTTAACCGTGGGACATCTGCGGAACAAACTAGTTTACCCCTCTCCTGATCTGTAGGCTCCGCAACTCATAGAAATTGAATGAAATTATTACAATTGTGGACTTAGGTAGTCTTTAGTAGCTTCTTCTAAACGTGCTTCCTCACAATTTCACGTCCTCTCTCCGTCTGCGTTACTCTTTAGTAATTCTTGTGATCCGTAATCGATGAGCATCGTGTGTGTGTGTGTGTGTGTGCGCGCGTGTCAGGGCTCTACGTGCAATTTGCTTGCATAATTGCGTTTTACTCGTCGTTATCATAATTCCTGGGTGCTGTGACAAGGGGAAGCCAAAGAACTAAAGGCTTCCCCTTGGTAGAGCCCAGTACAGAAATACAGAAGTTCAAGAAGGGTCCGTAGGTACAGGCTTCGGTTCACCTGAGTTTCCTTGAAAACTTTTATCTACAGCGTTCGTTCCGCTTTCAAATACAATAAAGTTTCACTCGTCAGCCAATCAAGTTCTTTGCTTCCTTCAACGGAATCAACTTGTGGTTACTTTCGTGTGCTTATATCATTTTTGAAACTTGAACGATAATCCCGGTTGCGTGCATTTTAACTTTATATGTTACTTAGTAAGGGTACGTTATACACCTGTCAGTTGGATCATTGGTCATGCCATCGATTGCAGCAAATGTGAGTATCAACAACGTTCAAATTCATTGCTCGCCAGCAAATCGATGTCATGTACTAACTCGTCGATTGTATTATCTGTGCAAAATCGATCGGTTTTCAAAATTAGTCTTCAACTATGTTTAAAAAGAAATCCTCGATAACGAAAATGATTTCGCTAAAGCTGTAGTGAGCCTAAAAACAAAAGATTCAAGTTCTATTTCCATCGCAGTCTAGGTTATACATTTTATTTTCAAATATCTTTTTATGTAACAATGAAATCTCACCTTCTTATCCGATAATCGTTGCCAAAACTTGCTTTGAATACTCCGTGGCACTTCGTACACATCCCCCATGGTAGACAAAGCATTAAAAACACTTATCGATGACACGTAGACGGTACCGAAAGAAGCATTGAATTTTTCAAAAAGAATCTATCGGGTTGGTAACTAACAAGTGATTGCAGATTTTTGAATGCCATCTATCGACAAAATCCGCAATCATATAGTTGCCAACCCAATGGTTTATTAAAATCTAATTCATCGGAACCCAAGAACAATCGGAGGTGTAGGGTTTACAACACTGATCTGGGAATTAACCAATTATGAAACACACGACATTAGAACATCGAAGTAGCACGATCACGTCATCGTCCTTAGAATCGAAACGTAGGATATCGCCAAACTGAAAATCTGCAAAATGAATGACAATTTACAGATGCATGTATCGGTAAAATATAACTATCTCTATAGACCGATGCCAATTGTGACGTTGCATAAGACATTGCCGTGCTTCTTACCGTGGTAACTTGATTTAGGTTGAGGGGGGAAAAGCCATACGCCGTGCAGTGGAAAGGCATCTGGCTGCGTGTCATTATGATCATAAGGAGGGCCTTCATCGTGGAATCGCATACAATCCAATTCAACCCATGAGCCCCGAAACTGACCTTCTCCGTCTGCACATGACGCAGCGCGGGACACATTTTATTAACAATTTCCCGACGTGTGTTGATGTCAATATATTTATAAGCTTGCCTGGTCATTCAGCATTGTCGCAAACCGCAAAAGGTTAAGACCATTCGGAACGGAGCAAGAAAATGTATACAGTTTTAAATCCAGTACTTCAGATCTCCAAATCTTCGCAATCGTTGAGGGTCATCTTCCGATTTGTAAAGAATTTTAAGATTATGTCTAAGTGATGTAAAAGAAGTCTCGTTTATGAAACCTTTCCCAAAGTTGGGTGTACCGAATCGTTTCAAACTTTATAACGTAAATGTGGAGGCTATAAGAAGGGTCATGACAACCATAAAATTTCTAGTTTTTTTTAAATTCGTCATAAAAAAATGACATTTTATGAGTATCAGGTACTTCCTTATAATCTCCATATTCACGTTGCAAAATTTGAAGCAATTTGGTACACCCAGCTCGAAGAAAAGTTTCTTGAACGATTGACCCCTCTAATGCCACTTTCACATTCCCTTAATGGCAGGTATAGCTCCCTCTCCCTCTCAAAGTGTTTTAATTAATATGAGATGCTTATAAAATACAGATCCCTAGTGAAAAAGTGTAATATTTCAAGGTTAAAAGCTTAAGAATAAGGTTTACATCTTGCTTAATGACCTCACATTTACTGCAGTTACCAGGACCTCTTTTTACATAGCACGTTGTCACATAAAAATACACCACACCATATCATGCACTGTCCAACACTCGTTACAACACTTATTATACTTGGCACGATTGTCATATGAAGTTAGCCAGTCGGTATGAATTTTTAGAACAGTCTACGCAGTCTGCATAGTTCGTTTACAAATAGATTCTGATCGCAATCTACCTCCCAAAACGAAAATAAAAACCCTAACCTCCATTTTCCATTGCAAATGCCGAAACGCTTGGTTAATGAAGATCCCGTGGCATCTACAATAGATGCGACAGGCAACGTAGTAAATACAGTTATCGATAACAATCTACACGATGCTGAGAAGAACTAAATTCCCCAATTAGTATCTGATTTGTTGAGAGCGAATTCACCAGAACTGGACGTCAATTGTATGTCGATATGGGACTTGCAACATTGCAATCAATCGATTTAATCGATTACGAGGCTCAACATTAGAAAGTCGAAGCAGGACAATCACGTCATCCTCCGCAAAATCGAAAAATACGACAATGCCGTACTGAAGATCTGCAAAATGAAATCCAATACTTAATAAATTTTGGATTAATAGTCGCGATGATCGCGTCAATTCTAACTGATCGTTAGATTTCGTACCGTGGTAACTTGATTTAGGCTGAGAGGAAAAAAGCCATAAGCTGTGCAGTGGAAGGGTTTTTGACTGCGCCTCATTATGAACATGAGGAAAATCTTCATGATGGGATCGCATTCGAACCAATTTGATCTATACACGCCTAGACTGACTTTCTCCGACTGCGTATAATAAATAAATGAGATATTTGGTAAGAATCACCAGCAGCATTGACACGAAGTAGTGTTTTCAAACTTGCCTGGTCACTCAGCATCGTTGCGTAACCGCAAAATGTCATGGTCATAAGAAATAAAGCTATCAGATGTGTAACATTCATTGCTACTTCTACGTAATCTCCCAGAATCAGCATCTGAAATGGAGTATAGACTTTCTGATATATAATATAATTATTATAGAATAGGAGAATGCATGGGTAGATAAGTAAATAACCTTCTCTATTTGGTACATGCAGATGCACATGTTTGTAGCGCAGAGCAGCATCGACAGCATTACTACCGGACCGAATATGTTTTCGATCGCGTTACATAGTCTAGAAGAGATACGATTAAAAGTTAAATAACGTTACCAATGACATTAGGGGAGACCGGGGCAAATTGATCGACTTTTCAGGGAATCTTTAATTGTAAGAAAAACAATGAGAATTTTCGAATATAAGCAATCGATATGTAGGGCATGCATTCGGGCACAATAATTACAGTTCATGATTCTTTAATTTTTTGCGAATAATTATAGAAAAAATTATTTATGCACGTTGGCGCGGTTAGACAACTTACCTCGCTTCGTAAGTCAATTTGCCCCGAACGTCATTTTAACAATCAAAAGCATACCGATAAATGATAAACAATTTCATATAGAAATGAATATACAACGATACAAAGCTAAATAGATGCTCTTTTTATGTGCCGTATTTTCAAAATGATAAAAAGCAATATACTGTACTAAAAAAAGGGGAAAAAAAGGAGGACTGAAAAAATTTACTTCCCATCATAGTTGTTGCGTTTCTAACGTAGAATTAGTATGTCAACAACTGATAGATTTAAAGTATAAAACGATTAAATTTGTAAAAAAAGTCCTCTATTCCTGGTATCATCTAATATCCTTGTTTGCGAATTTTCAGAACTTTTCGAATACGAATTTTCATTATTAGAGGAACTTAAGAAGAACGGGTCATCGAGGACAGTTGCACGGGGGTTTCAGTGAATTTACCTGAATAATTCCAAGTGACGGTCGACAAGAAGGACGATCTTTAAATTGGAGATGTCATTGGGCCGAGGCTTGCTATCGTTGTTGAACGCGTTCTCCAGCTCGTGGCGCAGAATCTGTCACAAAACATCCGACTAGTTGGCAATACGAGCTACCGAACTTATGTTATCAGGTTGAGTGCCACGCCGATCTTCCGTGAGGCGGTTTAATCCGAAAACCACTTACATCGAAACGTACGTATATCAAATCGAGTTTAATTTGAACAAGGTGGACGCGGCTTATAAATCGGAGCAAGATTTGACACATCGTGTGCTGCGTCATTTCATGCTAAACTTTTCGTTCAATTCCGTAATCCGTTTATTTATGAAAAAAAAACATGAAATGCTCAATATCATTTAACAAATACATTGTAATCATTACGTGCAGTGCACGTTGTCTTTTGCGCTTTCTACTTCCTAATAATTACTTTTGCACTTTTAGAAGTATCAAATGTTTCGTAAAAATAAATACCGAAAACAATAATGCATATCATCCGTGGGAGTATAGCTGGACCTGGCTGGAACCGACGGCGCGCCAAAATGGCTGGACCACTCGCCGACTCGGCCGACGCCTCTTCCGGCACTGACTCGCTCTCGAACCAACTCTATACTCCCCAGTCCTATATGGCTTGTCAATTCCAACCCAATTTCTCCGGTCTCGCCCCCCTCGCGGCTTGCTCCGCGAGTCGTAGAGTTTCGCATTTGGAACGTCTCGATGGGTGATGGGTTTCGGGAATCCGCCGGCGAGCCTTCCCTTGGGAATGGACCACCCCGACTTCCTACCTCGGGTCTCCTCGTAAGCATACGGCATTTCCACGTGATCGCTTACCCGAAAGTGTATGGCAGCGTATGTGGTTGCATGGGCAAACAATGTATCGCAGGATGCCCACATCGTGGCGGCGAGTAACGCGATCACTTGTTCCATGGTGATGACGGTGAAATAGGCGAATGCATTCCTCGTCGGGAACGGATAGACTACCGAAAATATCGTCTGAGTGTAGTTGTACGAATTGTTCTCATTCTTCGTGAGAAAATATTGAATACTGATGTTTCTGAGGACAAATTCAAGCGAGATTACTCCGACTCCGTCGGGAAATAACGTAAAACGGAATACTGCAAGTGTGCAAACAATGGACAATTAATAATATTCAATTTACGCGCGAATGAATGCAGGAGATTGATTTCACTTTACAAAAAGAATGGACTCTTTCTATCTTAAATAAATTGCAGTAGTATAATAATAAATATGATCGTTAATGCAATGTCTACTTGAAATGGCAGCCCGTTTTAGACTTGGTTTTCGTAGCCGAATAATTTCTTCCTTTTGTTAACGTATGTTTGCTAAAACTGAAAATTAGAAGAGAGCTTACAAATCGCCGATAGCGTTAACTATTATTACGTTGCAGCGATAGAAATAAACACCGTAAGAAATTCTTAAGAGACTATTATTATATAAAATTCCAATTAAGTTATGCATGTGAAAGATATGCTTACGCATACACGGGGACGCTGTAAAAGATGACGCAACCCACGATTAAAGCAAAGTAAACGGTTCTACAGATAATTAATGCCTGGAACATCTCGTGCACGATGTTCATGCTTATATTTGTATTAATCAGGGTATTCCAAAGTAATGCCATTTTTTGAAGGAGATCCCTCAACTCCCCACGTTTCTGTATGAACCTTATGCCCTGGAACGTCAAACGGAGAGGGTAAGCAAGAGAAAGTATTTCAGATACATACTCGGCGTAAGGATTACTTTCTATGATTATCAAATGCGATTTTGAATATTTATGTAGCGTCAACATCTTTAATAAAAGTCTGCATCTAGGAAAATAAGTTTACAGTTTCTCCGTCGAGGTCTCATTTCCGGTGACCTCATTGAAGAGGTACAAGGTGCCTAAATAATTAATTGGGACGATTTTTTTCTTTTTTCTTAGCGCATTTTACTGCGTCAACTGGAATACCTTTTGTACTTGTGGTCAAACTGATTGGAAAGGAATTAAAACTGCGGATTATAGGGAACATCGTAAAGCAGAATAATTCTAAGCCGACAATAGGTACAGCAAAAGAAGGAGTTCTTAGATATATACGACTACCGAAGCATACAATTTATGAAATACATCTTTTGAGTTGGTTTATACGATCACCTCTAGTATTTACCTTCGATACATTGAGTATAATGCTTAACAATGCAGGGACAGTGCTTAAAGCGTAGACGGTGTCTTGTTGCCAGAGTGACATCAAAGTTTGCAATTTCAGTACCATCACCAAGCAGAGTCCCGTAATGCTCAATGCGGAGAAAATCGTTTCCAAAATTCCGAGCATTTGACGTTTCCCGAAGAACGCGCAGTTCATAAATGGCATTACTGTACACCGCAGCATCGTGACATTGGGGCCGAAGAAGTCCTCGAAGGTCATGTGTGCATTTCTTTCATTTTTTGCAATCATGTTAGTCCTAAGAGAGAAAACTCGAGCAAGTCCATCCGATCGTTTTCGGAAGCCACGTACTGCAAAAAGTTACGGTCTTATTTAAAAAAACGCTGCATCCATTTTTGCAGTCACGGTTTACGTTAGATTTCGACTATCTCTTTGAACCGTGCCTGGAGTTCAGGCAGGGTGAACAAAATACTGAAAATTCGAATAACAGATATAAAAAAACGCAAACAATTGGATTCGTCGTAGATGTATAAAATTCCAAGAGTCCTCTAGTATTTGTTAAACTTGTACTGCAAATTCAAGTTTACAAGTAATTGAATTACTTTGCATGTACATTTCAGTGATACGAAGAAAGTATTAATGCGCTAATATCATTCATGTTTTCAGGCTCTCCAACGGTTAGACGTGATAAAATATGTACGTATTGAAAAGTATCGGCCAAAAGGATAAAAGAATACGCAACCCAAAATTTCGGTGAGGTGTACGAACATTAATCTGGAGATTATCCGCCTCACTATGTAATTTACACGACCACTGACTTTTCTAATGCTCCGTACTTGGACACGAGCCACATAATTACGGACAGATGTATTCCGGAATACCTGACAAAGTTCATCAAATTTGTTCGGTTAAGTGTCGGGTGCCACCGATTCCTCCAACTTAACTCCGAGACACCTCCGGAGGGAACTGGTCGAACCCTCTCCTGATCGATACGCAGCCCATAGGACATGGCAGAAATTATTATACAATAATTGCTGGTCTTAGTAGCTGCTTCTGAATGCCTTTCCTTTCCTTCTCTATCGTCCCTTCCACGGGTCTTCGCTCTTTCTCCGTGTTGAGTAATACAAGTGATATCTAATCGAGTTGCAGGGTTCCATGTGCAATTTACCAGCATTATTGTATTTTACGTATTGTCTTCGTAATTGCTGGGTGCTATAGAAGAGGAGCGAGAAAGAGCGGTTAACCTCTCTGGTCATTTTAACCCCCAAGACCATTGGATAAGTCTATGGACTTCGGTTCATCGTGCCCGAAAGCTTTCGGCTGCTTTATTCGTTCTCCCTTCTGATAAAGCGAGCATTCGTGACAGCGTTCTCTTGAAGTAACGTGCATATTAATTAATTGGACTAACTGAGTGGCTGGTATTAATTTTTCACTAGATCGTTATCGTAGAAGATGTTTCGACGCGATGATAGCTGAGCAAGTCAGTTTTCTTCGTCGAAGATAAGGCATGTTGTTGATATCTTTTCGATTCTTAGATGAGCATTGATAATTTGCGATGCCACAGCAGTAATCAAAGTCTCGCTGTCATGTTTCTCACTCGTAAGTACGATATCCTTTCTATTGGTCACTCTTAGAGATGTCAATTTTCTAAATCGATTACATTTTGAGCAATTAAAGACTCCTCTTAGCTTTCCGCAGTCACTTTAACTTGAGTAAATGCAGCATTATTTCTGTGCCTGTATTGTATTCAATAATTGACTCACCCACCTATATAAAACGTGAAAATTGGTGATGGGGTTATGATTCTGAAGCTAAAATACACATATTGATCAATGTCTCTAAATATCATTTCCATAATATAAAAGTAAATGCAGGGACGGAAAATAAAATTAATAGCTTACGGGAAAATTTAACAAAAAGCGCAGAAATAGATGCGTAAAGTAAAGAACCCTTTATTTGAAGATTCTCGGCATTCATGTAAACGAAAGATATTCACTGTACTAAGTTCATCGATCTAAAAATATTGTGACGTGCAAATTTATATCACATTCTCGAAGCCACATCATTTCACGCCATTGTTTTCAACATCATAAAGTACGACAACGATGTATTGAAAATCTGAAAAGTGAAATTAATTAACAGACGTTGTTCTTCCAATGATTGATTATACTTTAATGAAAACACCGCTGTACGAAATAGCTGTTCGCTCTTCAGATACACTTATTCGCTGTCCATCTCTGTTTTCAGTGGTAGCGTTGTTATTGCGAATTTTTACCCACCGTGGTGATCTGGTTCAGAGTGATGGGAAAGAAGCCGTAGGCTGTGAGGTAATATGGCTTTTGAGAACGAATCATCATGATCATCAGAAACCTCTTCGCTCTCCTGTCGCATCCGTACCATTGTGATCCGTAGACACCATCGCTGATCATCTTTGCCTGCAACGGAATACATTAGCCGTATTGTTTTATCTCTTTTACGGAGGGGTAAAAGCACGGATAATCAGCTAGTTATATAGCACAAAGCTTTTATATCGTCGTGAAGTAGTCATTCGTACGCAATCGTAGAGTAACCAATAGTTAATACCATGACGATTAAAGTTAAATCTACGACGATGGTTTAATTGAGAAGCAACGTCCCGCAAAGTAAATGTATTATCTAAAACTTTATTTGATAATGCATTACCATACGTGGAAGAAAAACAAAATCACCATGTCTTTAGTACATAATTGTATCGCGGTTATACGTGTTATAAATAACGGTGACTGACACTCGTCTGGGCGATTCATTCGCAATAGTTTGGAAACTTACCTTATCAGTGAGCATGCTAGCAAATCCACAATAAGTGACTATCGCCGAAAAGAGTATCAGAAAATGAGCTAAGTTCTTCACCGTCTCCATGTATTCACCAAATGTCAGCATCTACGAAACGAGAGATTTAGCGATCTTCAGTGGACTACTGGTAGATACATCTTTCTCTTTACCATTTCCATTTGGTACAGACAGAAACACAGGTTAGCAGCGGTCATTAGCGTCGTCAACAATATTATCGGGCTGAATATGTTCTCAATGGCATGGCAGAGACTGAAAGATACGATAAAAAGGATTAATAAGATAAACGTTGCTCATTAATTGTTCTTTCATTGGAACCGTATGCGTTTTTAACGTTATTGTATGAATTCCCCGAGTCTTTGTTAGCACGAATATGACAATTTCTGGCAAATTGCAGATATCCGTTGAATGCTCCTCAAATATATATAGCTTCTGTTATTAACATATCTAATGTAAATTTTTTTAATCGAAGAAAGTGCAGAAGGTGCACAGGAGAGGATCTCGTTACCTGAAGAGTTCCGAGTGACGCTTAGCAATGCTTATTAATTCTTGAACATCGATATTCTCATTCCCGGGAAAATTGCCATCGGTACAAAATCCATGCTCGATGTCATACCGCAGATTCTTATGGATACAGGAAAAACATCGTCATTAATTAAATTACAGATTCAAGTGAAAGAGAGATCCGAAATACTAACTTCAAAATGGATCGCAACATGAGTGGTGACTTGTGCGAATACAGAATCGCAGGAAGACCAGAATAAGCCTATGGAAAGTACCACGAGGTGTTCAAGCGAAACACATAACGAGTAAGAGAGGGCATTACTCCGTGGAAAAGGGTAAACTAGGGGAAAAACTGTCAGACTGTAGTTAAAGGAATTATATTCATTCTTCGTAATAAACACTTGGCCCAATATGTATCTGAAACGTGATGGTTCCGTATAATACAAATGTATTAAAGATTAATGTCGCTAGACCAAAATTAGGAATTTTTATGATCCGACCAGCGGAATGGTAAAAACAAATGGCAAGATATATTTTGGCTTCGGAGAGATGAAAAGAAAATTATAAAATTGACGCAGGACAATTTTGTAAGATGAATCCAAAAGTTTCCGATCTCATTTGAAAAGAGTAAACGTCATCGAAAAAAAGGATGACTTGGGTGCTTTGCGAGGAATTAAATAGCTTCGGAGCAGACCACCTCCGTCTTACCCTAACAAATGGCGTTTTCTAGAAACATGACGAGGCGATGGGAAGTGATCGATAACTGTTCTGCATGCTGTTTGGCAGGTAATATCCTTACATATGCGCATGAATGACGTAGAATGGAAACGCGCCCATGATCACCAGGAGATACAAGTTGCGATGGCCGGTCACGATTCTTATCATCCTCGAGACTTCTGCCTCGTTTCTTCTTCTCTCGACAAACGTGTCCCACAAGTCACCGAGTTTGTTAAGCAGATACGTGATGTCTCGAGACTTCTCTAGAAGCCTTAGGCCCTGAAAAAAACGAAAATTTGTGAAACGTACGTACGCGGAAAATACCAATAACTAACTAAATCCAGAAAGGAAGTAGGCGTCACCAAGTCCTAAGTTTTTCAAACGATTGTGTCAATGATATCGATCGAGTATCAACCGGCATTACCAATCGCTTTTATTAACCAATAATTTCGGTCAAGATGCAAACCTTGAAAGTACACAAAGCTGCGGATATCGCAATTGGCATCAGATTAAGAGACAGGACGATGTCTTCCTCCCACACAAGCAGGACGGTGCGAAACGTAAATGCTACCATCAGCGATACCAGCACTAGACCGGCAGATGTGAAAACTGTTTCAAGTGCTCCAGGTCTTTTCGGTTTTCCCGTAAAAACGCAGTCCATGAAGAACAGTCCCATACAACGCAGCAATGCTACGTTCCCACCCATGAGGTCTTTGAAGCTTGCAATCGTCTCCTTGTGTTTGCTCATCTCTGGTTTTCGATTTAGACGGATTTAGACCGGTTCCTCTGGAGCCTTGTAAGCTCTAAAATCTCCTTAATCGATTTATATGCTTCAATACTCTAGAATTAAACGGACGAGATGACGAACTCTTCTGGTCTCGACTTAGGGTCTAGATGCCTGTCTAGAACCTCACCGTGTAGAGGTATCATCTTCTTCGTTCTCTGCTGATTACTCCCTGGCGGCCCCTTGGTGTCTCCTCAAAGCGGCTTAATAGGCATGCGATCTATCGATCGACGCGTCTAAGCGCAAGCAGCTTGCATTTCAACTTTTATATAATAGCTTCTGAAACCGAGGACGTAATTGCTAGGTACTGCTTGGGGACAAGAGGTCGTGCGATACGGACTCTTTCTCGTTTAAAGGTAGGCTCTGGCAAGTAAAGACGGTTTCTTTCACAAAATGGCCCCAGTCCTGGGTAGGATCTGCTGTAACGTGGCCACGTACATTGCCGACTCAATGGGAAGCGACCAAGTGGCAGCAGGGACGTCAAGAAGTCGAAGCGTTTCGATGATGATCCGAAGTAATAACTTCTTTCGGACAGGCATTCCGTATCTCTTTTTATTGTTCCTTCGCTATACTTGAAGAGCAATGAAAAATAGTACAGAGTGAGTTAAGTTATTAACCCTTTCGCGCCGAGCGCCGCATATATGCGGCATCCACGCCACGACCTGTGGGTACGAGCGCCGCATGGATGCGGCATTCGCGCGGCACATTTTCGGCGCGAGTTTCTGTCCTGTGACGGTACTTTGGCGGACGGGACTACCGTAGCGAAAAGGTTAATGTTGTTTCGCTATTTTTCATTCATTAATTCGTAGAAATTAAAGCAGCTGCAGTGCAATGTCGGTCAAAAATAATGAAAACGCAAGCAGAATTAATTAATCGCGGAGGAGGACATTTCCGGGAACATTATTCATTGAAATGACTACGAGGCCTGAAATTAGGATGTAAACATGACAACGTAAGCATTCCAATATTATTAGAGTTTAGTTGTCGATACAAATACGAACGTTGGTAACGTTGTCCGTCATTTCATGTTATCACTCAAGTACTCGATATGGCGTTATCGTCTGCTGGCGATTATTTCAGACGGTACGCCGCTTACAAGACCTCCTCTTTACCGACGGCGTGTAAGTTCTCCAACGCCTTTTACCTTCCTAGCATTCAAGTCCTAGTACGGAAACTTGCTTGTGAAATTGTAATTCCACGCGAATTCAGTGGAGGGCATCACTCGATACTTTCTATCCGATCTTATCCTGTCCGGGGTTCCAAGATCTACACGCTTCAATACCGAAAGGAAACTTTTGGCCGCCACAGCCGTCACGGTCTGTCCAGATATTGTATGTATAAAACTGAAAAAAAAAAAAAAAAACATTTTCTACCGGTGAATGCAAAGCGTGTCTCGTGCTTGCAACTTTCTCCTTTACGGACGTGCTCGAAACCAGGGTTGGGTAATTCCGCGTTTTTCGAGGTTTTTGACGTATATTACGTAAATCAAGTAATTTACCGTAGAAAATCGTAGAAAACCAGTAAATTACGTTAACAACATGAAGGATACGTCGATGCACGATATACGGCATCCACTGGTTATAAACGTCTTTTGGCACATATGTTAACAAGAAAATATTTTGAAGAATAATACATTAATCTGACGCTTGTGTTCCAAATTCTTTTGTTGAATGTTCAATTTCTACCTGCGTTTATTATTACCTATTCAGAAATAGAAGGGCGTAATATACTTTGCGCTGGCGTAGAAAATTAGTGACATATTATACGTTGTAATATACACATAGAAAATCACATATTTTACATGACGTATTATACGTACCCAACCCTGTCCGAAATGAAGGAACGAAGTAGAAGTCGCGACGAACTGCTGACCACGAAGTAGTATATGGAGATATAACACCGTGTATCGAAATCGCCCCCACTTTAGGGGTCCAAGATCTTCAGATTTTTTCCAATCTAGAGCCGAGAGCGTCTTCTCGATGAAATTTTACATTCCAAAAATATCGTCCGCTAGTCTTTATCGCGTTAAAAACATCACATTCTGTATCTATTTTTATAATATTTGTATAATACTAGCTCCACGTGGTTTCATAATATTTTTCTTATAGATATGCAAAACGTTTCGTTTCATTTTAACATAGGTATTTTTTAAATACTATCTGCCGGATACATTGTAAACGTTTAAAAAATGTTTAAAATAAAAATCATACGTTTTGTTCCCATAATGAAAGAGCGGAACGGAAATATTGAAAAAATTTGTCGTGCTTTTGATACTAAATAAAGTGTTCGATAACAATCATAAAGTAAACAATGTATTTATACTATATGTTTATAAATTATTAAAACTAAATATGTCATTAAGATGTTTAAGAAATATTTTAGATATATGTTGAAATGAAATCTACGAGACATCTTAAAACGTCCGTCGCTTGAGATATTTAGCAAAGATTACAAAAGAATAGTTAAAAATTATTCCGTGCTCCTAGGGCTGCTTCGTGGTCCTGACGTTGTAAGATGCGAACGCTTTCCCGACATCCGCGACGACACCGTGTTCTCGGGGAAGGCATTGGCGTCTCCCGGTGAACGTGCAGAATTCGATTCGACCTCCCACCCCGGGACTCTCGGGGACTCGCGGGCGAGCAAGCGCAACCCACGGAGGACCACGCACGGTCTCCGCTATTAAAAATAGCGCGCCGGTATTATTGACCCGCACGTCACAACTCTCGCTGAGGTCCTTCCGGTCGACCGACTCCTGGAGGTTCCGGCCCCACGTCCCGCTCGCGGACCGCCGGGTCGATGCTCGCTCCCCGGAAACGCCGCCAAGTCCTCCCGGAGTCCGGACCGGCCAATTCGATTCCCGAAGAAGAGGAAAGGAAAATCGCCGACACGGACCCCGCGAACCCGACCGTCCTCTCGCGGAAAGAAAACGGAGGGGGAATTATTTCGCACGGGCAGGCAAATATTTGATTGAGCCGGTTTCGCAGCGCAACGTGGGGACGATCTGTCTTACGGCAAGAGACAAAGAGAGAGAGAGAGAGAGAGAAAATAGCCGCTCTTTTCAAGAATCCGAGGAAGTTCTCGGATGTCCAGACTCCGCGTCCTCCGTCCTCGTCGTAAATGCATCGAATTTCCTTTCCTTTTCCTCCGGAATCAATTAGGCCGAGACCAACACCCGGCAAAAGGGAATTAGCCGGTGTTTAACGAAGAGCGACATCCCGGGGAGAAGGAGAGAGAGAGAGAGAGGAACCGGGTCAACGGGGAAAGAAAGGGATTCGTCCCGGAATCGATGAGCAGCTCGCGTGGGACTCTCGTCAAATGAACTGGACTGGAAAGGTGTCTCATCCGATTACCGAGCGGCTCCCCCAGGAGCGCATCGCAAGTGCCGGAGGAACAAGGACCCGGGAGACCATGAAAAGGATCTGCCTTTACTATTTTCAGCGCACCTGTGCCCCGGTTCCCGCCTCAAAAGAGGGAATGAATTTCAGACCACCGCGTCCTTTCTCGGCTGCATACATTATGGACCCGTTCTTTTCACCGGGAAACCAAACTCGCTGCTTACCGGCAAAAGGCGAAGTGCCATCGCGAATTAACCGACTTTTCATAACGACCGAAACGGAAACGAGTGCGTCGTCTCCCTTGAAGAAAAATATTCCATCTTTGCCCTATGAGCATTAACATTAATTAAGAGAAAACGTTGCCGACGTTCTTCCGGAAAGCAGAAGGCATCCGATTCCTAGCCTGACCTAATCTAACGTAGCCCGAGAACGGATTTCACGCCACATGCGCCTGACTTCCATGCACCCCGCTCAGGAGGCGTCGTTCATACATTTTTCAATGTTGGACCGAGAACATTTCTGCGCGTTCCGCGTGGCATTTGCAGGGACGCACGGCAGCTGTCAAGCCCAGCTGACCGGGAAGACTCGTCCCACGTGTCGGCCGTGGGGAGCGAAGCCCGGCGGTGGCGGCGGCGGTGGCGGCGGCGGTGGCGGCGACGGCGGTAGAGGTAAGCAAAGGCGAGCAGGGCCGCGCGGTCGTCGCTCGGCCGCAGCCGAATGTCGATACTCCGCGTGCGCGGCACGGCCCGCGCAGGGGTGCTGCGCGCGCAGGCGGTGGGAACGAGCGCGGTGGTGGGGGCGGAGCTGGCGGCGCCGGGCGGTCAGACGGTGCACGTCCGAGTACGGTGGCGGACGCAACGGCGTGGTAAGTACCGAGTTCTCGCGAGCGGATCTCTCGCGCGGGATCGCGAGCCGACCTCGGGCCTTGACGGCCACGCGGCACCCTCGGGAGCCCAACCCTCGGCCGACCTCCGCCCCCGCGGGGCCGCATCGCACCCATGGCGGACGAGGACGGCAACGCGTGCGAGGACTCCCTCGGCCCGGGGGACTCCACCACCGCCTTCGCCAAGAAGCTGCGCGGCCGCAAGGGCGCCCTCAAGAAGAAGAACGTCTACATGGTCAAGGACCACAGCTTCATGCCCCGCTTCTTCAAGCAGCCCACCTTCTGCAGCCACTGCAAGGACTTCATTTGGTGAGTGCTACCCTTTGATCGTCGCCCCCCGTTTTTTCGCCGGTTGCTTCTCTTCGTCGAGTACCCCCCCGTAAAGAACTCGTCGGACCCCCGTAGAAGCCCGGACGAACGTTTGATTCTCGATAGTTGGTTGGCTCACCGGTGGCGGCGCTGGGAACATCCCGCCATCTCTATCTTATGGCCCTGTAAGACGGGTTACGTACGCTTTTTATGTTATTCGCGGTTCCTATAGGGTTTCTATAGGTGAGATTTTGGATAACGCGCGTAACCTCGTTGTTGGTTTGTCGGTCGATTGAATGAACATCGGATACCGCTCTTCGCGATCTTCCGATTCTATGGAGTTCTGGGAATTCTTTGTTTTGAGGCCGGCTCCGCTTGGAAATGTTTTTGCTTGATTACCTTTGACGTAACACCTCACTTGTGTCGCGAGTCGAGCGCGGATTCAGCGATCGGCCAGCCAGCCTCGAAGCGATGGGGTTGTTTTATGGAGTACGTTCGCCTTTGCGATCACTCGATACGAGGAGGTATTCACTCGGGAAATCGTGGATTTTAATGCTCGAAATCACGGGGAAATGTGCTGGAAATCGCAAGCAGAAATCACTAGAAATTGTTGAAAATCATCGAAATACTCAGTTTGAAGATCGAACGTCCCTCGTTACCGAATGGCATTGTTGTTTATTGTCCAAAAGCAATCGATTCTCAAAGAAGGAAATTGTTTCCACTGATTTCCAAGTGAGTAGCCTCACGACTCGATATTTAGCTATTCCCTTTGACCGATATTTGTGCCTTACGAAACGAGGTGTTCAATTTATTCGGTACGTATACTCGTAGTTTCGCATTTTATTCCAATGCACGAGTTCCCCGAGGGTGAAGGGGTTAACGTATCCGTGACGTGTTTTATCTCATAAATCGTACTTTGATGCAGTACACTTTTTTGGAATACTCGAAGAAATTTAAAAAAATTTTAAATACTCCGAAGGTTGAAAATATTTTTCGAAATATTGTACGATATTTTTTTGAAATTCTCGACGGGCATCCAAGAATCTATCGGGGATGATTCGTACGTGGATAATTATTAAGCAGGAACCTAATAAGTGTGTACATTCGAGTGGAGCGGAAAAATTTCTTCCTAGGAGGAATACGAGTAATTTGCAACGCGGAAAGTGAATTACGAGCGCGAGCCATTAGGAATGCAAACGAAGCTTTAAAGAATCTTCAGACGCGAATTAATGACATTCCGATATCATTTTGACCGTAAGTACAGTCGAGTTAGACGAAAGTTGTAAGCATTCTTTTCTGAATAATTTTGGTTAAACAATTTTTATAAACGACATAATCTGAAGTGATGATCCGCTTTGCTACTGATCGCGAAATAAATCATTTTCATTAACTGAATGAAACAATAATGCCATTCTTTTACTTTCAGTTGGTATCGGAATAATTAATATACTGTAATATATATACATACATGAATGTTCAATTACTAACATGCTAGTTTAAAAATTGCTGGGAGGAATTTAGATTATTTAGAGTAAAATTTACTGGAATACAGTATAAAATGACACAATTCCTTGTGATTTTGGTTTATCGGAAACTTCATTCAAAAATGTAATTTAAATGTGCGAACGTTATTGCGTATTTAGTCCAAAGATACAAGTTGCAAAATATAATCTAGAAAGAGGAAATTTGAAAATGCAAAGCGCGACGAATTGACGCAATAAAAACCCTGTTTAGCATACGCGGAAGAGTGGTGGTGTAAATGAATCCAACGTTGCGAGGAACTATCGACGCGTGAATCGGATCGAAGCACTCACTCGAAAACGATTATAAGGCTAATTAACGCGCGATAGTTCTTAGCGTCGGAGCCATCTCGAAATTGATTTCGGATAACCTCAAAATACCGTCGAGGCATCCGGGACGCGTTCCGAACAGTCGGAAGGGATTTACTTCGATCCCGGGGGATTCCGCAGTCCCGGCTCGGCGGAAACTACTCTGCGAACCTCGTTCCATGGAAGTTTCCTCCGAGAGACAAAGTCGGACGGAATAATTCCGGATTAAAGTTGACGAATCGCGTTACAGATGGGCGGGAGCACCACCGACTCGGGATTCCGCGTTCTCCGCGGAACCGGGGCTAAGATGATTCGAATCGGTCCATTAAAATCGCAATTAACCGATCTCTGGTTCTAGTCGACTAATCTACGTTATTTAGAATGCCGATTTTTTTACCGCGTCATGGTCACATGAAAGGGTCATTCTGTATACATGAAACGTCATTATATTTCTTGTATGGCAGATAGTTTGGAGATAGATTTTATAAATATTTTAACGTCGTATATGCATAGAATGTCTCCTTATGTGCGGAGCCGATTTTGCTGTGAAATATTTGTTCTATACAGAATTCTTGATGCCGCGTCAGTCCCACGGGACCGAACGGAAAGTTCACTGTCAGTCCCCAGGGACTGACGCCGCGCTTAACGCGTTAAATGAGGTGTTCGGTCCGATTCGTTAAAATATGAAGAAAATCGTAATTTAACGACAGATCGCCGACTTTTCATTTATCTGTTTTTAATCGTGATTTTGATCAACTCCGTATTGAACATACAAACCTAATTATACCCTCGGTATTTCTGTCAAGTGGGAAGGAAAGTGACAGCGAATCGAGGGGCTATTTTCTCTCCCCCTCTCTCTTGGAGCTGGATAGGCGATTTGCCAAATTGCCTTCTATTGCTCGTTGCAATCGGTTCGTGTAAAAAGAAAAAGAGAGTAGGCAACCCCTTATGATCGGATCGGCATGTCCTACGTCGAATTTTCGTGCACGGTACCGGTTCACCCTAAGGCACAACGATATTCATAGGTATGGAAATTCTTACCGTGGGTGGATTAATTATTGACGATTTTTATTCAACCTTTGTCTAGCAAAATTGCCGATGTAAGGTTACGTCTATCAAACGGACAGAAACGTGTCCCCCTTTGTTTCTCTTGCGCTCACCTGCGGAAAATGATTTCTAGGGGTTAGGTTTGGCCGCTATCGTGTACGCAGGTCTGGACCCTAGAGAACATTTATCCCGTGCATCGTTTAAAAGTTTTATTTCGCGTGTTGACTTTTCACGTAAAACTCAACGTTAGACCTTTTTAATAGGAGCGATGGGCGTTCATAGTCCGAGTCGGGCACCGATTGGTCTCGTTACGTGACACACAACGCGACGGTGATAACATCGCGCACACTTCGGTCTCTACACGTGATACATCAATTGAGGGCAAATACAGCGATGTCGTTTTAAATGCCAATCCGACACCGTGCACTTAACGCCGCCATCCGAGTGCATCTAATTTCTCTTGCTTAGACGTTAACGCGTTTTGTGCCGCGATTCTCTTTCGGTCATTTCACTCTTTGATCGAATTTTTCATGAAAATTTAAGAATTTCTGCAAAATGTGTCGAGGTGAGCAGCTAGCAACACTTTTTCAAGTGTTTTCATTTCTCGGGAGAGGTTATCGTTTAACAGCTACTAAAGGCAACTAACCTCTATTTTATACATTTATTTACAATTCATTATTTTAAGTGTACTAACCTTTAAGTAACAATCTTGGCGGTGTCCTTACCAATATGCTGTTAAATTTAATACGAAATCATTTTTTTTTAACTTACGGTACAGAGTTGAAGCAATTATGTGACAATGCCCTACTCTGCATTTAATGTTAAATCGAATGTGAGCACGTTCGCAGGGTGCAGTTAACGCGTATACTCATTTGAGGTTAAGTCGAGCACTAATTAGGATATTCTCGGCGCTCGTTACGGCGCGAATGTGTATCACATTTGATAACATCGCACATCGTTGTTAACATGTAACGCATTAACGGGCGTCATATACGGGGATGTCGTTTTAAATGCCCAGCTGTTAACGCTCGTTTATGCCGCGCATTAACTGAAATGGATGACTCGTGCATACGGGTCTGGAAACTACAATGGGGGGAGAGATCAATTTTCGTAGAGGATTTTCCCACCCGAGTTGTCAAGGTACCCCGTTCAAAATGACTTCGGTATTTCGTTCGCTTTTCGAATACAAACGTGTACTAAACCGCAACGACACTTGAAACGAAAATCGGACAAATATACCCTATATTTCGAAGGACGCTAATTCTGCGCGAGTAGTACCCAAAATCTTGAGCAAAATGGCAGGATGAGTAAAGAAATCGGCAGAAATGTTAATAGATGTACCGTAGCACAGTTTTCTCAAGCAAATACGATGGCGTACGTGTACACGATCGACGTTCAGAACGGATAAATATTTTCGGCCAGTATTATGACAATCAATCTTTTTTACCGACGTCGATCAAATTCCTCGACGCGTTTTACTTCACCTTAAACGGTACACTGTTATAAATATTCATTAAATTTATACACTTTTAGTACATAAGGTTGTAATGGAACTATAAATGTAATGTCCTAAAAGTCAATTAGTATATATTATATTTATTACGAATTTCTAAACAGACTTGTAATACGATGATATATCACATTATAATTTTGTGAAATTACGTGGAAAAATGAATACACTTATGTCGTAAATTTATACCACATTTTACAAATTTCTTAGAAATATTTTATAAAATTAGTATACCATGTCTGAATTTTCCAAGAAAAAAGTATTATAAAAGTGTAATGTTTTTTTTGAACGGTACATTCGAGAAGTATATTACGTCGAGTAGCGGATACAAGTGGTTGCATACCGTGTTGTAATAAATTGCAAGTTTACGCATCTCCCCGGAATGTCCAGGGCTAGTTTGTCAATGTCGGTGGTAAACGGACCGTCGAAAACGGTGAGCCGGTCGAGGAGGAGGCTGACGTCTTCCGCAACGACGGAGATTACGTTGAATAAACTCGGCTGTTATAAAGTATCTGTGGCGGCAGAGACGGCATTCGTGTCCGACAGCGTTCGGCCGTCGGTAAGCGATTCAACCTTGACAGACCCGAACTCTCCGAATTAAGACGGCCGCCATT